AGAGCACCCGCCAACCATCCACGTGGGATATTCAAGAAATACACATGACAAGAACGCATACTGTAGAGATAATCGGAGACAGTAATACAGTCACAATTACAATTTAATGGAGATATATGATTATAAGATGCACACACATTTAACATAGTATGATACTGTACTAGTAACTACTACATATTAAAAAACCAACAGCCCCACCCCCGACAAAAAACAAACAAACAAAACAAAACAAAAAAACCCACCCAGCATATGCGCAAAAAAACCAGGTATTGAGACAAAGATGGTAGGCCTACATTATGTTATGATACCTTACAACAGGTATTTACAGTCTTTCTTTCAGTACAACTGAGTGAGGGGGCTTCAGAGGTAAGACCTCCAAGTTCATCTACAATATATATATATATGGTCGCTTTTAAGGACAAGCGGGCTAACCCAGATTTCTGAGGTTTCCAGAAATCTTGACCTACACCAAAAGCAGGCATTGCCCTACCTGTAGGAGAAGTTTCGTTTCATTGGTGTGTGTACCGTATATGTTTAGTAACAGTACAGAGAAAACTCTCCTTGTCTTATAAAGAAACCGAACAAGGGGCAAAAACTTTACCTTCGATTTTCTCAAAACAGCATTTTTCGGAATAGCCCCCTTGTGCTTATATTAAAAGCGACTGTATATATATAACTGAACAAACCTGGGAAAAGAAGGTGGACAGATAAAATATCTCATGCAAGCAAAGTTTATTACATCAATTAAAAATGCCCTGTGCAGTCCTGGATAATAACAGAGGTAACTGTGGCCCAAGACAAAGACAAAAATGCCATATTACCCATTGTGAGAACTTGTAATTTCTATTATTTATAAATATATATATATATATGTGTCGCGACATGGTCCACCATCAGACGCTCGTCAATTTTTGGGCGTGAGGAGTTATTGGTATCATCATAAAGCTTGTTCGTTTGTCTTGCTTTCATTGAAAAAAAATTACACATCTATCTTGAATAGAAGTCAAGATGTTTGCAATTGAAGGATATGGTGTTGCTTGGTCTCAGAGGTAAAATTAGCGAGAAAATGGCTGACAAAGTTTTCTAATTTACGTCTTTTGTGCCTTTGGTCTACGTTTTTCAGTAAAATCCTCACTTGAATGTGTTTTTTTTTAATGAATATATTAAAGATGTTGAGCCCCCCAAAAAAAACTGGAAAAAAATTGCTCAAGGTCCATTATTAAAACTGCAGATTTCTTTGATTTCATTATTTTGATGAGCGCCTGATTTCACCACGATGCCTCACATATAACAGTCCAATACACAACAAAGCAATCTGTCTGATAGTACACACGCAAGTATTTTTACAAAGATCGATTCCATAAAAGTCACTTTCTTCAGCTCTTACTCAAGGGACCTTTTTTGTTTGAGTAAAAAGAAGTAGAAGCACATTGGTTGACACAATAATGCTCATTTAGTGCTTGGGAAAACTAAAAGTAAGACAGACAGACAGAAACAACAGAGGGAAAGTAAAGAGGTAGGACCTGCCAGTGGCATCATCCAACTACCTGCCCTCAAAGGAGATAGATGTCACTTTGACCACTCAAAAAGTCAAGTAATAACAACCCAATCACTACACTGGAAGATAGACCATGCGTAAAAAAAATGACATCAAAGTAAAAGAATACCAACAAGAAGCAAACCAGCACAAGTTCTTCCATTCTTGTCCCAGTCTTACACTACATCTTAATCTTAGTCAAACGATTGATATAATAGAAGCATCAACTGTACAACAAGCTCAAGAAAGGAAACAGCGACCAGTACGCTACGTTACTGGAGACAAAGGGGAGCTAAGGAGAGACAAACAAATTCTGAAATTGACACGTTCGCAATCAGCTTAGTCCTTATTCATAGTAGGCCTACTCTGTAACTTTATTCTTATATGTTCACACTGTGATTTATGTGCATATCGTCATCTTTTACTTTACTACTTAAATTTTCCGATCCAGCAGCCATCTGGGTTCTAGCCCTTCGGCCATCATATCGTTATCAATTGTGCTGAATGAATGTCTATTTATGCATTAGTGTTAATCTAAACAATGTAATGCATGTTAATGCAACAGGAGTGGGAGCTATAGAAAGAATCGGTATTACATCATTATCATCATTATCAGTAACAGCATCTTCACCTGTCTCCAGCAATCTGTACATAATTTACAGCAGTTTTATCAAATCATTATTTTGCCGTGTCAAATTCTCATCATGCGTCACATTGCAAAAAATACACAAGAATATGTTATAATTCATTATATATATATGTTATTTCGACGGAACATTCACTGGCTCTTTTCACTGTGGCATAAAATTTATAATGAGCTGATAAACTTCCCTCATTTCAAATAACTGTATATATAACTCAAACTCACAGCAACAATAATTTGTACATGAGGTGTGTGAGAAACATAACTCAAGTAGCCTACAAAGTCAATAACAAGAACATGGTTTTATGAAAAGTATTTTTCACCGTAACTACCAAAATTACAGAGGACAAAATTAATGGTTTTATTTGAGGAAAATCATTCTACATAGAGTAGAGGCTTTGTATGCTGTAGAATCAATAACAATTACCACCTCTCTCCTCATTATATCATATAATTTATATATGAGACATGCAACATTAAGTTCATTACATTTTTATACATTATTCACATAAATGTACATTTTACGTATCGTCAAGGATACATCCACACCCCTCGGACATCTCGCTTCTCTCAACACAATAGGCCTACTTAGGTCCTAAACCATTATATATATAATACAGTGGAGCCAACTTAAAATAAACCAAAATCTGCAGGACAGGTTTAGGCGTGTTTTTTGGCTTAGAAGAGATTGCTCACACAGCAAAGAAAACCATGGGGGATTCTATTTTCTTTCGGTTTATCTGTCTTCATATAAATGTGTCTGGTTTAACAAAGTCGTCAAAGTACCGAACACTCATTGAAAAAACCTACAAGTAGCCTACCGCACCAGTTTAGAACGCTGAAGCATGGGTAGAGTTTTTTTTTAATACAAAAAAAACTTGGCAGCCCAAGAAACATGCTTTACTTCAAAAATTCATGAGAGGTTCATCAACCATTCAGCTATCATATAGAGTGACTTCCTTTGGTATTTAACTTCAGTGCAGTGCGTCCATTCATTGTTTCTAGTTAATTATGTTTAGTGTGCCTGGTTGCATCGGCAACTAAAGTTGCCAGCGGTAGTGAGCCTATACTACGGCCTGGCAACTAAAGTCGTCGATGGTAATGTAGCCTGTGTTAAGGGGACTCCACTGTATGAGCAAAATGTTGCACCAATAAACAAACATTTTCTAAAAATCCAACTCTTACAATCTTCTTATAAAAAAATATTGGGAGCCCTGCTATCTGGTCCCCATATGTAAATTCTGTCGTAGACATCCTCCCCTGTTAGGCACTAACAAAGGACACAGAGACAATTCACAAATTTAGCAACCTGTTTCCTTAGTTTTAGTTTTAGTACGGTCTTACGGCACTTGCAACTGCTTAAGGTCATACGAGTACGAGCACCAAGGGGTGGATGTCAACAGAATCTAAGTCCAAACGGGGAATCAGGGTTAACTCTACTCACCTCTCTAGCCTCAACAGCACAAAGTCTGCTTTGACTATCAAGGTACCTCGAAAATAGCAGTTCACAAGAGAGTGACAAACATACAAAAGAAGTAGAGGAAAATGACGATGGTAAGGATGAGGAAAGAAAAAGCAGCAGTTCTCCCTATGATGCTGTTCAGGCATAGTATAAGCATGACATTGACAAATCATCCCATTTACAATTCTACTGTGCATAAGAACATGATGTTAATATCCCCCCTTTGGGAATGGCCTTTAAAAGACACTTCAGTCAGTAGCACTGCCCTTACCTGTAGTGTTTCCATTTTCCCACAACAGCCTCAGGGCCAAAAAGTCCCCATAGCCTTTAGCCTTAAATAGTTTAACCCTTCCGTACGCCGTGTGTTACAATCGTATCCACGATACGACGTGGGGAACTCTGTGCCACCACTTTCCAAAGAGGAAGTTTACTCGTTAATCCGATACGTCCGCTTTGCATAGAGTGCTCAATCTGTGAAAATGATTTTTTGGGACATACTGAAAGTTTCAAAGAGATCTTCGTACTAGAAGTATTCTAAAATGTGAAGAATACAACCCGGGGGGTACAAAATGACCCCAGGGCGTACAGATAGGATCAAAGTTAAAGAGAAACACATCAACATGACAACGTAAAAATATTCACTGGGTGCCGGGAAAGAGCAAGATTGACAGACAGAGACAACATAGAGGAAGGAGAACGACCTTCTTCTTCTAGCGACACCCTCCAACTTCCACTGTCTGTCTGAATTATCATTATGATTCATACAAGCATTAATACTGGAAATCACTTGTCATTATTCATTATGATAAAAACTACCGTACATGATGCATGAAAACAAAATGAATGTCATAGATGAATTTTTTTTTAAAACAATCAAGAAGGAAGAGAGAGGACAACAGATGCTTGATACAAAAGGGGCCAACCAATCACAACAAAATTATATTATACAGGGAAATTGTACTGTTCAGAATCCAGAAATAGCAGGGAGGGAGATAAATTCAATGAGAAAACTTTCAGTCACATAGAGATTCTGAAATGATGGAAGGTGGCCCGAGGTAATCAGTTTACATGATACTCTGATGAGCCTTGATCACGTAGAAAAAAAATTGCATTTAATTTTTCTCCCACAGAAACTAGAAAATCAACAAAATTATAAAACAGGATAATAGAAGTAGAAGGAAAATTTTCAACGAAAACACTTGAATCTCTTTTTCATACTTTACATAGGGAATGTTCGTGCTCACAATTCATCCCTAGCTGAGAGAGAGAGAGACAGAGAGAGAGACACAGGAAAAGAAAACGAGAGAGAGAGAGAGAAAGAGAGAAAGAGAGGAGAGAGAGACAGAGAGAGAGAGAGAGAGAGAGAGAGGAGAGAAAGAGAGAAAAAGAGAAGAGAGAGAGAGAGTGTGAGTGAGAGTGAGGGGGGGCAAGTGGAAAAGGGGAAGATTCTCATTCAGATGATAGGGACGGGACGACAGGGAGGAAAGTTGAACATTGCCTCCATAGAGTCATAGCATAGAGCAGCAAAGTTCCTCCAGTAGGCACTCCGTACAGGAGATAAATCTAGACCTGTGAGAGGGCCCGGCCCACTGGTGTTACGAGAGGGCGTTGTCGTGCGCCTGGTCAATGTAGACTTTACTTTTCCGATCCAGCGGCCATTTGGGTTCTAGCCCTTCGGTCTGTCGATATGGCAAAGAATTTACAGGTTTTAACCAGCTGTGGTCAATGTAAACAAAAACAATGAAAAGGGTTCAATCAGAGAAGAGAAACTGATGGGCTATAGAGACTGAGACTGAGAGGACTGACACAGATCCATGATCCTTCGACGCCACCTTCCACTGATGCCCTCCTCCAAGCATGCAAATGTCAGCTTGAAAGTTTCAAGATTTACTTTGGCAGGGGAAAGTTCTCCTGGAGAATTTACTTGGTATGAAATGTGTCAAACAGCAGTCACAAAATAATCCCCTGCTGGAATTGTTGCCCAAAAAGCTTGCGAAGTAAACTAAAATAGTCATGTCCTCAGTTGGCCTGATATAAAAATATAATGTATATAATTCAAACTTATTAGGCATAGTTTTTATTTAAGAATATCATCTTGTCAATATGATTTTCATTTAAACAGCTTCTCTTTGCCAAAAAGATCTCACTGGCTTTGGAGAAAATGAGGTCAGCAGGCACCGATGTGGCAGGGATGGCCAGGAAATGTTGGGCTAATTTGGTGAGGTTCGGGAACACAGTTTCATTCGACTTCCACCATTCAAATGGGTGAACTTCATGTCTTCTTGGTTGCCTGCTTTCAAAATAACGTCTCAGCTCTATGGTTGGGCCGGTCGTAGCAGGAGAAGTAGATTTCAACAAGTCATTAACTTTAGAATCGAATCTGTTCCACAGGGACTTGACTGGCTGATGCGAGCGCTCCTCTTGCACGACTGAAACACTACCATCATCTGTTGTTGATTCAAACATTTCACTCAGCATTGACGTAAGACGACTCTCAATGTTTTTCGCTTTCTCAGGGTCACCAAAAGGCAAATATTTAAAACGGGGGTCCAAAACTGCTGAAGCACCCACAGTGAAGTTGTTCTCGAGAGATAAGGACAAACGGCCTAGACCTCTTGACAAGACTGTCGTTAACATGAAATCCTGATACGGCAGTTCTAACAAACATTCCTGCAACTGTTTCACAATCGGAATCATTGTAGAAAGTGTAGCACTCTTTTCTACGCAAAGTTCTTTTGCGGCCAACTCAAAGGGTTCCAACGTCTCCACCATTTTTTTCATGGCAGAAACTTCACTCTCGGTTATGCAGTCATCAGTCTTCGATAACAAACAAAGAGCTGCAGAAATTACCTCGTGCTGCTCGATATAACAACGAAACATGTGCAAGGTTGACATCCATCTGGCTTCCTCATCTTTCACCAACATTTTCAGAGGAACATCCGTACCTTGTATCTCTTTCAATATGCCGACTCCATCAGTAGAGTACTGAAAATAAGACACAAGACCTCTCACCCTGTTTGCAACGGCTGTCAGATCATCTGCATTTTTCAAAGCCTCTTTTACTGCTCTGTCCAAAGTGTGCACAAAACAAGGCACATGTTGTATTTCAAGGACGCGGACAGCATCTGCCATAAGCGACGACCCATCAGTCACAACAGCATTAACTTTCTCATGAATTTCCCATTGAATAAAAATGTTCTTCAGTTCCACAGCAATTCCTTCCGCAGTCATGTCATTATTAATTTGAGTGGTGCTGAGTACAAAAGACTTTTTTTCCCACGAAGAAGAGAAAAAATGAGCAGTGACTGTCATGTATTGCTGAGAGCTCCATGATATCCAGCTCTCCGTGGTAACAGCAACTCTCTCTGCATGTTGTAGCGAAAGCCTTACCTCCTGTTGTACAGCTTCATACGTCTGAGGTAAAAAGTGCTCTGACAACTGGTCTTTGCTAGGCATTTCATAGGATCTGTCGAAAGTTTTTATCAGTTCACGGAAATTCTTATTTTCTACGAATGAACAGGGTTGTAAATCAGATGCTATCACTTTCATGACAAGAGCATCAATATGCTCTTTCTTTTTATGGAAGGCAGCCCTGTTCATGTTATTCCTCAATGGTGTACTGACACTGCTACTACTAGCAACTACAGGATTCAAAGAGGCAGGCTCACTTTTTGGCACAACAGTTTCAAAGTTAACATTTCCAATATCTTCCAAGGCATCTCCAGTGCTCACAGTAACAATGTAATTGGATGATATTTCGTTTCTATTTGCACTCCCATTTCTAGACCTCTCCAAATTACGTCTTTGCGCATCTTCATAAGCTTCAGGATGTTTCTTTTTAAGGTGCTTCCAAAGGTTTGTGGTTGACGTATCAGATCCATTGCTGAATCTAAAAGTGGTGCCACATAAATGGCACACACAAGCTTGATTAGATGATGTTGGTTTCACAAAGTAATCCCAAACAAATGAAGAATTTGTCCTCGGCTTTTTGCCCATCGAGCCATCCAGTTCCGACTCTGAAATCCTCTTTACGTTTTGAACACGATGGGTTTCTGGGATTGAAGGCGGTTCAACATTATAGTGATGAACTTTGATATGATGGAGAAGATTGGAAGTGGAGCCACCCCTTTTATGTTCTTTACCGCAGAGAACGCATGATACAAGGTGTTGTTTGGATGGGTCGCTGTGAATTTGAAAATAGTTCCACACCACACTCGAGTTGGTGCGCATTTTAATTACCCTGTCAGTCATATTGGCGACAGAATTTTAAATTCAATCAAATCAAACTCGTAACTTTTGAAGTGACTTTTTGTGGGCTGAAGTGCAGTCGCTGAATAGGTCACTGAGTCGTGAATTCTGATGATTTGCAACAACAAACAACACTGCTTGCCGCGTACATCTCAATGTTTTGTACCGCTTTGATGCTCTTCCGGCTCGCTGGGCTCAACGCTCTCCTCAAGACTCTGGCAAAACCAAGCCATCCTGGCAAGTGGGGCACGTTCCTTTGATTTTGCCAGGCCTTGCCCGCTTTCCACAAATTTCAAGTCAAAATCCCTCAGGAATCGTAACAAATTGATCTGTCTTCTTTCGGCGATGTCCAAATCTTGGAGTAACTATTGTCCAAATTTTCTTGCAGCTGACATTCCCTTGGCCTTAAATGTGTCAAAAAGAGCTTGTCCGATTTTTTTCTGATCGTTCTATACCTGACTCTGACTCATAATTTGAGTTTTTGGTAAGAAAGGAGAAAGTTGAGCCATTTAAATTACCAGCCAAAGCACGCATAATAATAATAACCACTGGGTGCCCAATTCGACAGTTTAGATGCAGTTTAGAATTTAATTTGTAGGCCCCTACAGAGAAAGGAAGGAGGTATAGTGAATCTGGAAGGGATTGAGCTTCAAGGAAGAACAGAAGAGAACAGTGACCAGCAATATCAAATAAATAATTAAAAAAGAACTATTAACAATTACGACTCCTTGCATAGCGGAGATGGGGCGGTCCGGTTCGAATTGGGGGGGGGGGGGGGGGGGGGGGGGCGCCGCCTCTAGTTTCTATTTGCCGGTCTACCACGATATTTCTGTAGCACAATTAAATAATTGACGGTCTACAAGTAATTTTATATGTATGTAGGCCTTACTGCTTTACAAATATCACTGGCCGCATTAAAAATGCTTAATGGTCCCCAGAAAAGAACCGTGTTGATGTTGTGCTGGTTATATCGGTAGCTTTACTTACATCTTCCCTGTCTGTGTGTTTCCAGCCCAGCTTTGTATTGTCAACGTGATCCGCTAAGGTCACTTGCTATAGAGACTTACTTACCAAACATCTTTACCATCACAAACTGAGATAGTCCACACACACACACACACACACACACACACACACACACACACACGTACTCACACATTCAGACACACACACACACACACACACACACACACACACACACACACACACACACACACACACCGCAATTTCCCACAAATGTAAACGCCACTGCCTTTGACTTTGATCTCTAAATTAACCCATGGCACATCGTCACGTGTCGCTATACAGCCTCCACAGCGATGATCCGGTGATAGTCAGTCTATGGTAGACCCAAGGACTTTACCACCTCCTTGGGCAGACCGCCTCTATTGCGGTAGACTGTACGTGTGGTCAGTCGGGCGGGGCTTATGGTAGGCTGGTTTGTTTGACAGGTAGTCGGTAGACAATCGAGGAGTCTATATTTTTGCCCCCTGGTGATAGCACACATACGTGTACAAGTATATATATTATTAGGCCAGTACAAAAAAATGTGTATGCTATGAGTGAAAGAAGGAAATGATTGATGCTTTGCACTTTGCTTCTTTATTAAAATACTATTTTCATTGTAAATGTAGGCCTATATGTTTTACACGCCCACTGACATAATTTAGATCATTTAGGAGACAGGCTTTGACCAGGCTAGTCAGCACAGCCAACCCGGGCTGAGAGTGCAATAAAATATCCCCACAGAAAGACGAAGAGATACTCCATAAAAAGTATCCCCACTCGGGAATCGAACTCAGGCCTCCTGAGTGAGCAAGCCAAGTGCCTTATCACTACACCACAGATGGCTGACCTGGAAAACAAGTTTACCAAAATAATTACAGTAGGCCTACAATCTGCGAGAAGCGCTGTTTTGGAGTTTGAGTAAAGAGAAGCATATAACGGCAAAAGGTGGATCCCCAAGGTAGATAGACACAACAAAGTAGAGAAAAGTTGTAAGAATTACCCGGGAAACCCTCCAACCACCTGCTATATCAAATGATGTGATACCTGCAGACTGTGGGGAACCGTCAACAACACCAGATGAGACATGATTAGACATAGCGAGATCAGAAAAATGATTAGAGAAAAACCGAGGGAAAAAATCAAGGAAGACCTAAATAATAGGCATGAAAGGGACTGCTACATCCAATGACAGAGAATTAAACGATCTGAACAAGTCTGAACATCAGGTTTTTAGTTTTAGTACGATTTTACTGCGCTCGCAACTGCATAAGGTCATATGAGCGCCAAGGGGTGGATGACAACAGAGAAGTCCAAACAGGGAATCAGGCTTACTCTACTTTCTCTACTCTAGCCTCAACAGCATAAAGTCTGCTTCGACTATCAAGCCCCCCCCCAGAAATAGCAGTTCACTAGAGAGTGACAAACATACAAAAGAAGTAGAGGAAAAATGATGACAGTAAGGATGAGGGAAGAAAAAGCAGCAGTTGCAAATATGTTGTTCCGGCACAGTACATGTATGAGAATGACATGGATAAATCAGCCCATTTACAATTCTACTGTGCATAAGAGGAATGGCCTAAAGACAACTTCAGTCAGTACATGTAGTAGTAGCACTGCCCTGGTGGGGGGGAGACATCAGGTGTCAAGATGTCCAAGCAAAAGATCATGGCCATGGGTTCGGTTACCAACAGAGCCAGACCTGACATTGTGTGATTGCAGTGGAGGTGAAAAACCAGCAACAGACGATTTTCTATTCGGGAGAAGATCAAGCACAATCTGCTGCACTTCACCCTGTGGAAGACTGATAAACTACGGCTCTAAGGACCTTTCCCTTTATTAGTTACACAAGAATTATTTTTTCTATAGCTATATCCATCACATATGCTCATACGTAGTCTATGGGTGATTGGTGGGTGCTCTGGTGTGGTTTGCTCCTTCTTTCCTATCAAACATCTATCGTCTTTATCTCCCCTCCTTCTTTTTTATGTTTGTTACTCCCTTGTAATACCTCTAATCTTCGGCACTTATACCTTGTGTTGCAAGTGCCATAAAACTCTTACGAAAAAAGAAAAAAAAAACACGTAGTCCTATACATACACTTTGTTCATAAAAAGATCTGTTTTGTGTTTTAGTAATAGTTTTACGGCACTTGCAACACATTGAGGTCATATAGGTGCCGAAGATTAGAGGTGTTACAAGAGAGAAATAAACACGAAAAAGAAGGAAGGAAGATAAGGACGATAGATGTTTGATAGGGAAAGAAGAAGCAAACCACACCATAGCACCCGCCAACCACCCACATAAAAAGATCTACGGGCAACATGTCCACTAAAAGCAAGCTATCCTGATGTACAGCCTACACATTTTTGTGATGCAAGAAGTGTAGAGCATATTAAATACCAAGACAGACAAAACACACACAAACACACTGACAGACATAACATAATGAGCAACAAAACACACAGATAAATTGTATATATAACGTTCAAATTGTTTAATTAAAAACTCGGGACATAAACAGATGTTTACAGAATACATGTACATTATGATATAATGTAACATTACAAAGAAAAAGCGTAGAGGGTATTGTTGGTCAGACTAGGAACTGCTACAAGTACAAGAATTAGAATAGACTTAAAAAACACTATTACACAAACTGACGTGAACAACGCACATTCCATCCCACTCGCTCCAACAGGTAATTAAGGAAAATTCAAACCAGAGTTACATGGAGACATGTAATTATCATCGACCAACCAGATTTACAGCTGTTAAATATTTAATGCATGTAATACTAGTTAAGTAATAGTAATACACACATACGAATAAAATAGTGCCCGAAATTAAAAGAAATCCCTCTGCTTTGCATGACTTTTCCAAAACAGTTGAAACAATACGCATTATGTATTATCATTCATTCAATTGTGAAACAATGACGCAGAATCATTATAATTAATATAATATATAGATTATGTAATGGGTTGTTTTTTTCAACTGACACTTAAAAGTGTACATGTAACATAAAATTTTTGTTTTTTTACTGATGTTTTCAATGACTGAGCTCAACAACATACAGCTATTAATAATACTGTGTAGGACTCTGCAGCGTGTCCATTTCCAGGGTGGTCTCCGTGGCGTGCTCTTTTTCGTATTTTGTACACCATTTTTTTCAAGTTCCGTGTACACTCTTTCGTTCAAATTGCACACTGAAATATTATTTGAAATTTTATTGTTCTGCTCATTTGTTCTTTGAATTTGAATATTTATTTAGATCTAACGTACTTCAATTCTCTCTCCACCCCCCCCCCCCCCCCCCCCCAAACCCCGGCAAGGCTGTTTTAAATCATGTTAAAAGTTTATAAAAGTTTCTCCATCGCCATTGTGAGTGCCGACAACTGTAAAGTCCAACAAAGAATATGGTTTCTGGTACCCTTTTAAACAATAACAAGTTGGCAAACCAGCCTCTGTGGTACAGTGGGTGGACCACCGTTGCACACAGAAAACCCAAGTTTGATTCCCATGAAGGGAAACATTTTCACCCACTATCTCGATCTTTCTGCTAGGACACTGCAGCCCAGATTGGCTCTAACTGGAACGAGTCAAAACCGGCATCCTAAAAATACACACCTATTCTTTGTTTTTAAAACGTGCACTTAGCAAAATTTGTACAAAATGAAAAGATTTCCATATTCCACCTATTTGGCTACGTGCATGATAGACTACTGTACAGTAAAGCAAAAACAAATCTTTTCCCACAGCTTCATTTAACAATATTCCTTTTTACACTCTACATTCAACAAAGACGCATAGTTTAGTGCTTTCATCATATTAGGTTGTTGTTGTTGTTGTTGTTGTTATCGAACCAGCAACAGCTGGACTCTCGCCCTTCTGTCCAGTGCCATGTAGTGATAAGTGCAGGTTTGCTGCAGTTGCTGTAATGTTCCATAGAGTGTGTTGTCAATGTTAGATCTCGGAGGCAGAAGGGTACATCATGTTAGGTAACAGGGGCATCTTGTAAGACAATTCTGAGTCTTTCCTATATTTATACCCAGATTCTATCAGCATGTTAGATACAAAGGAGGGCCAAAAGTCTTCAAACAAACCAGCAACTAAATAACCAGACCTCTAGAAAATGGCCATTTACTATCATATCATTATTCTTTACAGAATTTTATCATACAACACAAGAAAATGAAATTTCTCTTTAAAAATCAAACGAGGCAACTTGAACAAATTTTCACCAACAAGGAAAATAACTCACTAATATTGTGAGAGTAAACAAATAGAACAATATATCAATCATTTCCCTTTGCCCACA